TCACTATTAGGCAGGGTGGACAGTAAATGAATGATACTATCAGGTTTTCGAGGCCTGTAGAAGACTTCCGATGGCTTTGCCTCGTGGGTAGATATGCCAGGAGCTTCCATCTGAAATCTTACATTAGGTGTTCTGTCCTATGCCTGTACTAGTGACCCCCAACCAAAAAGAAATGCAGCTTTGTAATTCTTAAGCAGGTTAAAATTCCCTTTATTGCTTTTTCTTGTGCAGAACTGCGAAGACACTTGTCCAAACCCCAGCAGCACATCTTTTGTTTTAACTTGGTAATCAACAAGAAGGTGAAGGTAATATGTTAATTTTCCAGAAGACATAATTGCAATATAAGTACGGGACAATACTTTGCACTTGAAGGATGAGCATCAGAAGTGGCTGAAATCGAATATAAACCAAGGAGAAATCTTTTGTTCTTATAGATGACACATTTTGGTTGATGTTCTCCAGGTACACAAGTCCTTGGAATACAAATTCATGTATTCTTTCGGCCTCATGCTTGAAATTGCCAAGTTTCTCATAAGTATCTAGTTTCCTGGTTGCACATAAACTTCAACTTTGGACATTTTTTCTCAATTAACCGCTGAAATAACAAGAAAAACCCAAGCACGCATCACATTAGTTTGAGAAAATCTTAGTTTGAATCAACCAAATCAAACCAGATGAATGTTCAAATGTTGAGAACCTACATCTTTTACTGATGTTAAAATTTCCACCTGAATAACAAATTATTTAGATCCTTCACCTTGCTTTGGGTAAATTAAAAAAAAAAAAAAACCAATATGAAGGTGGCAATGGAAAGAGCAGTAGTTGGGAGGCTGGGAGCTGTCTTGGTGTGAAGCTTCATTTAGTTGCACAAGGGAAATGGACTGATGGCAGGGCATTCCTGACCGAGGAATCATCTAAAACCACGGAGAAACTTGAGGAGGCATCAAGCCAGAAAGCATAAACATGACGAAGGAGCCAATCAATAGTAATGTTTACTTGTCACACTAAAGCAGATGATGCAAGCATCTAGAAATGTAGATTGCATTAATTTCCATCACATACTAGAAACAAACATTTCCCAGAAAAATCTATGCAGCTTACCCAGACACTTTTTCTTAGTATACATATACTATTGCATAGAAATCTGCTGTGAAGCTGAACAGGTTGAACTTAGCCACATGGATTAGTCTGCAAGAAATTCTTTCAAAAACGAAATGCTACAGTATTGTTTTTGAAAAACAACCCCAAAAACAGCTAATCCAAACGGACCCCTGTTGATGTATATACAAGTGCAGAATTTAAAATTTATCAGATTGATGGAGTGATTGAGTCCCATTTGTGGATAGGTTTCAGAAAATTGTGAACTAGAATTAGAAGGCTGCACACAAGACATACTTCTTTATATCTGCTTTGATGTTGTTTTAGCGAATTTAAATGAACGTTAAGGAAAGCTTGAAAAAAGGAGGAGAAAGTCTTTCAATCACAATTGGGAACCAGACTAGCAAAGTTGGGGAAGAACTCTATGGAGCTTTTAAGACTAATGTGCTGCAGACTGCATTAGTTTATTTGAAGAATCAGCTGCTAAATAGTACAAGTTATTCAGATTAATTGTAACCATTTGGTACAAGAAATATTCCATTATCAACATTTCAAAAATTAAATTATGAAATACATCATTATAAACAAAGCTGTGCTTGTTTAATTTGACAGAGCTGTAGCCAAGTTCAGAGATCATTAAATTGCTCATCCAACTTGTCGAGAGGTCGATGATATCTTTAACAATTGATAACATGGTCGACCGGTAGCGAGGCAGCTTCTTCAACACAATTATCGATGATATCAATTATACATTTATTAACTCAGGTTGGTTGTAGGCTTGTGGTCTTTGGTAGGAAAGCTATACTCAGCACGAAGATATGATTAGCTGAAAACTGATTTTTTTTTTTTCTATAAGCGGGAGGTGTTGGAATCTAGGACCTCTTATGAACTGTCAATGTTTTGAAACTCGGATGGGTGATTGAACAGGTAAAGTGGCAGCATCAAGGTTCAACCAATTCAACCTCAATTCATTGATTATTTATTTATTTTTTATTTTTAAAAATAAAAAATAACAAGTAATCAGACATATGTAATATCAACACAAAAATCCTAAAATTTGTAATATCTTTTGGAGAAGATTTACTGATCTAGTACCTTCTAATTCATCAACCAAATAAAAGAAAAGTATTTCACAAAAAAAAAAAAAAAGAATCAACAAAATGATGAACAAATCTATCCAATATTTTAAATTAAACAATGAAGTGTTTAACCTTCCCAACTAAAAAACAAATCTGATAGGATTTGTAAACTTAACTCCAAAAGAGAGAGAGAGAGAGAGAGAGAGAGAGAGAGAGAGAGGATGAGTTGAGCTTGTAGAACGGCTCGTGGAAGTAAAGATTCTTGGAAGAGGAAGAAAATTTAGGGTTTCTTGAAATTTTAGTTGGATTAGTCAATTTATTTTTAATAAAAATAAAATAGCCCATCAACCAACTTAATTGAAGTAGTAGACAATTAGTTGTAGTTGTTGGGTTTTGATAGAACCCAAAAGTTCAAGAAAGTGAGCAGCCCATAAAAAAAATGTCCAAATTCAAACTCAAAATCTAAAAACTAGACCTGATCAGTTTAATCGGTTCATTTCAGTTCACTGATTTTGACTGGTTTTGGCTGATTTTTTAGCTTTCTGGGTTTCTCATAGATTAAGTTGGTTGGTATCATATCAACCGGTCAGTCCCGTCCAATTCTTAAAACATTGTATACAATTTCTTACACCTTATCATCCAATCCAACTCTTTCCAAAAAAATTGAAAAGTATTAATTCATTTAATTAAAGAGTTTTATGGCCAAAAAACTAAAAAGTTTTCTCATAGATTACTATAAATCTATAGTGATTTTTTTTAGGAGGAAGAAATCTACATATATACATAGTTTGTTAGTGGAGGGATGGATTGAATAATTTGGGGGGAGAAAGTATAAATGAGAGGTCTCGAGTTCAAGGCCTCTCACTTACACTAAAAAAAATGATAATAAACAAAATATATGCGTATAAGTTTGTCGGAGAAAAATAGCAAAGTCACAAACTCTATGATTTTTGGAAATCACAGTCAATTCTCAATTTGATTTTAAGGAGTGATTGATTCAATTGGACATTGGAGACAGAACAAGAAATACATACTTTTTGAGGGGGTATTTGCAATTAATTCTTTAAAATGTTTCTTTGTTATTCATAGAGGGTAATAGAGCAAAGCAAACAGTATTAGTTATCTGATGGAAGATGCATTATTCACTCAAGACTTCATTTTACAGTAGTTAGGTCCATTAACTCATCGAAAATTGAGATGTCATATGACGAAATACCAAATGGAACTTATCAACAACCCCTCCTGTAATCTAGGATAGAATACATTATACAATTATTATCGTTTTCGGGAAAAAAAAAACAACCACTTTTGTATTCACATATTCTTGGTCTAGCAGTTTCGGCCAGATTCTTTATCTTAGAGCAAGTGATGAAAATATAGTCATTACATTATTGAAAATTTTCTAACTTGGTTACTAAAATTTTTTATTTAGTCAAAAGGTTAACTGAACTAATAGCAAAATTTTTTTTCGGTCACTCAGCTAATATAAAAGTACAATTGTGGTCACCTAATTAAAAAAAATGCAATTTTTGGTCCAAAAAGTATACGTTTTATTTAGTTAAACTTCAAGTGTTAAACGACTAATTTGGTTAACTAAAAAGTTTAATGAAAAAGTAGAAGATTATAAAAAAAAAAATTTTCTTTACTAAAAGATTTTATCATTTTCGGTTATGCATACGCTCATGACTTGCAGATAGTTACAATTAAGTATTGAAAACATTTTTAATCCGTAATCATCTCCAACCATCAACTGGTCATTTTTGTTTTCTCTTTGAAGTCAGAATATTAAAATCAAGAAAAGTATTCTGCAACAAGCCTTTCATTGGCACAGCTGAGTCACTTTCTTGCAGGCTTTGCTGAAATTTTCTGAAGTGGATCATTGTCCAAGCTTTTCGAAAATTATTGATCCCCTTCTTTCTTTTATTTTCATGTGTGCAAGATTTTCTTTAGGAAAACTGCACGTAAAAACAAATCACCTGAATCTTTTCTGTGTGCATGGGGGGAACTGGAGGGAGGGGATAATGGCGGTAGGGAGCAGCAGCCCACAGCTTCAAGTTTTATTTATCAGTAGCCAATGGTTATGGCCAAATTCTTGTATTATTTGATACAAGTCGAAGTTTTCATTTCCAAAGTTAGGAGTTATTGGTTATACTTTCGACAGTAAATTTCAGAAATCTCTGAAATCTTTGAACTGATCTCTATTCAAATTTGAAGAGCAGAATGAAGAGCAGAAATAAATTAATCTGAATTTAATCATAAAAGCACATCAAACACAACATGGTTGATCACGAAATCCCTTTTCCTTCCTTTATTTTAATTTTTTTGGTCACACAATACTGCTTTCGCTTTAAAAATCAAGTGAATTGTGGTTTATATGTAAACATATGTACATTTATTTTTTAAAATTTTCAAAAATTAAGCAGTCTTCCACAAGCCACATTGATCAAGAAACCTAAGTTATTCTCATGGCAGGATAACATTAATATATCTCCGATGCTGTTGTAATCGGACCAACCACCGGTAATTCAGTAGAGAATCGGAAGAAAGTTGGCAAATGATCGTAGAAATGACAAGGTCGTGCCAACGTAAAGATCATTGTGCTAACAATTTTTTTTTTAACAAATCTCAATAAAAAAATATTTATAATTCAAAATAGTTGCACTTGTCAAAAAACACCAAATGTGAAATTACTCTTAACAACTAAGTAATAATTTAACTTATTAACCAAATTGACCTATTCTGATGCTAGAAAGTTGCAGCAGAAATTGCATTATTTTGACAACTAGTCATGGCGCAAATCAATACTTGATGGATGGAATTGGTTTGCTCAAACCAATATAAATGAAGCATTACCATATACAAAGCAGCTCCCACTTTCAAGTCTCCACAACCTTTCATAGCACAAATTAAACAGACCAGCATCTCAAAAGTTCATTCAGGGAGCAGAACAGGTCCAAGCTAATAGCGTAGCACAACACATGATATGTACCCCAGATGCACATACCATCACCTTCATAGCATCCGACTTCCATGACACAACACACTTGACCAAGCATCAATACAAGATTGTATCAGATTGTGTATTACCAGTTTCTGATAAAGCTATTGTGATACATGTTTTGATACACAACTTCACGATCCTGAGTTTGTATTCTGCAAAATGGAATCAACAGATACTTTATAGACTTGATTATAGTCATCTGCCAAAAGGAGGTGTATTAATCATCAACTTTTTTACAACCAATTTATCAAGCAGTACATTTATTTGTTCAATAACAATTTTCATCATATGTATGCATTCAAGCAAAAAGGTCACATCATTATAAACAAAGCCATACAGAATATTCACCCTTATGGCAGATTATCTTTCTGACTATCCTGATCATCCTTTTGAATCTCAGTCGGACCATGGAGGAGTGTCCTTAACTCACACCAATTTCACATGAGATAAGGATTTTCAGATCCTTATTTCCGTAGTCCACCTGTTGTTCCTTGATATCTCGAACAAAATCTCCAGTAGAGCGTAGACATCCACGCACCTCAATCAATTGAAGAGTTAATGTTTCCCATAAACAAGAAGGCAGCTCTTTCAATTCCTTGCAACGTTCCAAAACTAATTTCTCAAGACTGGGAAAATGATGTCCTGAGCCTCTTCACCTGACTGTCTGCAAGGATTCCAATTTCAAGAATTTGCGTTTTGGGAAGATTTCCTCTTCTTCCATGTCTTCCATGTCTCATTCCTCTACTCCATCAGCTGGTTGAAGTATTTTAAGAACCTCAAGATTATGTATTTCTTTTATTGTGGAAATCATATTCCAAGGAAAGTACTCAAGGGTCAGCTGTTTAAGATTTAAGGGGAGACGAAATTCAATATGATGTGCTGTCACATTACCTAGAGTCAGCTTTAGTGATTCTAGTTGAGTCAGAAAGCCCATTTCCGCAATGGCGTTGCTCTCCCCAGTAGATTCTTCGGATTCTAGCAAACGGCATTTCAGTTCACGAACGTTTGGAAACTTTCTCATCATCTGTACCATGCTTTGCCCCAGATAAAACTTTGGAGTGGAAAAGGTGGCTAAATCATATAAAGTGGAGGAGCTGTCAAGGCTGTCATTGGCCAACCTAATATCAATGAAAGCACCATACACATGGAGATGCCTCAATTTCTGCATGTTCCACAAAGCATCAGGCAGTAAACAATGTGCTCTGTCAAAACAATGTACCGTCAGAAGTAAAGTTTCCAAGTTTGAAAGGTTCGCAAGTGAGGATGGGATCTTCAGCTTACGGCCTTGAAATTTTACTGCCAAGTACCTCAAATGAACAAGCAAGCATAATTCACTTGGGAAAGTATAGCCTATCTCCGTATTTCCCAAATCCAAGACTCTAAGAAGTTTCAGGACAAAAACAAAAGATAGCATATAGTCCGTGTCTTTACTGCTGAAGTAATTACACCGCAGCAGCAGAGAGCGTATACGGGTAAAAAATATCCTTGATTTTGCAATATACTTGAGATCAGAGCCGTATGATAACCGACGTAGGTGGTGTGGCCCATCAAACGCCTCCTTAGACAGTTGTAGAAAATTTATATCTTTGGCTTTTCCCTTGCAAAACACATGCAACAAATCATGAATGTGGCAGGTCTTGACCCCGCCTAAAGATCTCTGTTTCCCCACTGTAACCAAGCTTCTCTTAATTAGACTCGTTATATAGCCTTCTACAATTTCTTCTGGGCTTTTTGACTCATTCTTCTGAACAAATCCTTCAGCGATCCATAACCACTTCAACCTCTGGGTAGGAATTGCTTGATCTTCTCTAAATGCTCCAAAGTAGAGGAGGCATGGCTTTAAATGATCAGGTAGATGTATGTAACTCAATTCCAGTATACTCTTGCATTGATCCGTGTCACAAACTATGTTTGAACTTAGGCTATTCAAGACTTCCACCCAACCAGCTTGATCTAGAGTAGCAAGAATTCCAGATATGATGACAATTGATAAAGGCAGCCCCTTACAGTTTCTTGCTATTTTCCTCCCAAGAACATTCAGTTCTGGAGGGTAGACTTCTACTCTAGCATTTGCCACATTTGTCTGTAGTAATTCCCAGCTTTCGTCATCAGTAAGTAGCTGAACAACATGACGATTTCCAGTAATCTCATGATCCCGACTTGTTAAGAGAATTCTGCTTCCATTGGCATCATCAGGAAACGATATTTTCAAAGTATGCCATGCCTCAATATCCCATACATCATCCAGAAATATGAGATATTTCTTTCCCTTCAGGTTTTTACGGATTATATCAGGCAAATCATCATCTTCCTTCGTCTCAGAAAATTGAGCTTTCTGATCAATGCAAGCCAAAATCTCAGACAACAGATCTCGCTTGTTATATGTTTGAGAGATACAACACCAAGCACGAACATGGAAGTGAGATGTAACTGAAGGATCATGGTAAACCTTTTGTGCCAGAGTTGTCTTACCTATCCCAGGCATCCCCACAATGGAAAGCATGTCCAACTGCATTGATCCTCCTTTAAGTTGATTGATTATCACTTCTACCCATGGTTTAAAGTCGTGGTCGCGGTCATGGTCGCAGCCCGGAACGTTCCACATCGGTCTCGGCATATCGGTCGCGGTCTCGGTGAGACGCAAATTTTAAAGTATTTAATATTCTAAAAATTGTTAATAATATAAAAAAAGTATGCTAAACAAAAATAATAAAAAATAGCAAAAGAAATGGCCGAGTCAATCCGTCACGGTGTAACTCGGCTAATTTCTCGTCTTGACTCGGGATAACTCAGAGTGACTCGGCCGAGTCAATCCGTCGCGGTGACGTCTCGGCCGATTTCTCGGCAAGTCAAGTATCTCGGTATCGTTTCGTCACAGTATCGTATCGGTAGGGGCCGAGACGGTGACGACTCGGCCGAGTCGTCTCGGTCTCGGCCGAGACTTCGAACCATGCTTCTACCTCCTCATTCAAACCCACCACAGCTTCAATTTGAGTAGCACTATCAGTACTAAGCTCTTTGTTACTGCCACTCCACTTGCTTCTTGTTGTTGGGGAACAATTTAAACAACTGCAAAAGCAATTGGAATGTCATTAACAAAATAGAAGTGCTAATTTCAGCATCCACTAATTTATTGCTGAAATATTACCTTGTGATAGCTGTCAGGGATTTGAAGACATAATTTTTGTCATGAATCTTCAGGGCTTCACCTTTAAGAAGCTTAACTTTTTGTGTGATCTTATCAAATAATAGCAGGGAATAAAATGATATATCTCCAACTATTAAGGAGTCAAAAACAAACTCTGCTTCATATGCTACCTCTATAACACGACTCCAAAGGGCTTGAAGTTCTTTGTGCTGATTGCATTGCTCCCCATGATTCTCCAACCACGATCTTAAGAATAAAAGAGATTGTCTTTCCGGCTGTGCTGCTCCAAATAATTTTTCAAAAATGATCTTAAGAATGAAATATCTATTTTCAATCTTTGAAGTTGGAGCTTGTGTTGCAGGTCGTGCTGTTCCATCTCATTCAGCCAAGGTAATCGGAGCCCTTTTGGAACTTCCTGCTTTAAAGACCTTCGGGAATCTTCCTCGGTCTTCTTCAAGTACGTTTTTAAGAAGCCAGCTCCATCCCTAGCAAAAGCAAGTGGATCCACTTTACTGCTTGCCAGTTCCTTCAATTTTTGTAGGAGAAGATCGATAAACCCCAGTTCACTGGTCGTAGGAAAGTTAAACCTTAAATCGACAGGATGCTGTTCCTCAACTTCTGCCTTAATAAGCTTAATCTTGTACAGTAAACAAAAGAGCTTAACATCTGTTTCCTTGGCCGAAGCTTCTCGGATTTTCTTCTGATAAAGTGAGAAAATTACAATTGCAGCATCTTCGACCACAGCTCCAATAAGATCCTTGGTTCTTCGAGGTAGTCCATCATACTTCTCTTGCTGCTTTTGGAGAATGATGCTCAGGAATTGAAGCCCCTCATAGAGTATCTTCAAGTGATGCTTCAGAAATCTATTAAAACAGGAAGGAGAATTTAGTAGTAACTCAAATAGATTTGCTAGAAGTGAACTTACAAAATTCCCCACTATAAACCTATCGGTCTGGGTGGACACAATGAGCGAAGATGATCCAGATTGCAAGACGCCAAAGCAAGCCAAACGGACTTGCTGATAAGCATGCTTGATGTTCTCTACTGATTCAGTAATCTTCAATCTAAGTTCATCAAATGCTTGACTACCATCATCTAAAAACAAATAGTAAATATAACAAAGATGTGCTGCAGATAGAACCACAGCTCCACAAAGCTTCTTCACTACCCCGGGGGGCTTGCCTCGTAGCGTGGCAAACTGAATCAAATTGTCAAGGGATACCAACTTCTCTTGAAGGGTTTCCAGCATTCCACAACATCCTAAACCACATTCCATAACGTCCTTAACATTCTCCAGCAAGGAGTGGAAGAATTCCATGAATTCGTCTGCTGATGAAAAACTGGGCTTCACTAAGCGATCCAACAGATTCCAGGGCTGGTATTCTCTTATTCTCCGTCGGATTCTTGCCCCAGCAATGGATTGCGTAACCAACTCGAACATCTCGACATACGCTTCGCTTATTTTATGTTTACAATCCATTAGAGTTTCTCGGAAACCAGAGACCGCTGCAGCCAAGTCGCTGGGGGGCAATCCATCCTCTGACCCAAGAAGCAGCTTGTAAAACCTGTAAGCTTCTCCATGAACAGAGTCTTCAACTCCGGAAGAGTACGCCAATCTCCTTGAACACAGGACAAATGTTTTCACCAGTCTTAACTCCACTGTCAGGTAATGCACTTGCAAAACATGATGAGGTTGGCAAAAATATCTCTTTTCCATAACCAACTGCAGCTTGTCCAAGATTGAACAGATGCAAGTCTTGAAGTCCATCTGCTTTCTTCTTCTATTGCTCTCAGAATTCCTTCTCTCTCAGAAGTGATTTTGTCTTCTTGACCTCTCAATATGTGATGTGACTGAATCCATCCAACCCCCAGTTTCTCCAATGGAAAGACTTGTAAAAACGAAGCAGGTAAAGCGATTGTGTGCTCCAACCAATCCCAAGTTCCCAACATGATTGGGCCGTTTCCGAGAAACTAAACTAATGCTTAATTGATTGATAGGATCAACGGTACACATGATTGGTGCAAATGAAACGCGTCAAAGATTGAATTGTTAACCACTAAACAACAAATAAATCTGACAGTTTTATCCTTAGGAAATTATGTTATTATATTGTCGTTTTATAAAAGAACATTGTGGTGTAAAAAAAAATGATGATACAACTTTAGATGTAAATAATTATCGAGATCACATAAATTATTCTTACTAAATAAATATTTTAGTTTTTCATGATAATTGAAGATATTGAAACATTATCAGGAAAACACCAGTGTATATTTAAACATCAAACGGATTATTGACAAGGACCAAAAAAGAAAAATGTATAAATATATAAATCTTTTTGAATATATAATTTTCTTCTTTTTTTTTGTGAAAAGGCATTATTACTAAATATAGAATTTTTTTCACAAAAAATATAATTGTATATATTTAACTGTTGAAAAATATCAATATCTTTTACATGTACATAATACCAGTGTTTAAATCCCAAGAAAAATTTTTCAATAGCATAAATTATCATAAGTAACTAAACATTTGTTTAGTAAAATGAGTTATATACTTTCTATAACAATTTACATTTGTAGTTGTGTCAGCAGTTCTTAGACATTACAATATTCTTTAATAGGAAAAATACTATACAATAACTAATGATATGACTACCAAATCATTGTATATCTAATGTTATGACTCTCTTTCAGACCTCTTATACATAGAAAATTTAACTTATATAATAATTTATCTGCAAGATATAACTTATATGCTAACTATGGACTGAAATTGTTTCACTTATTATCACTTGCAAAAATTGAATAAAAATGTAAAAGTAGGAAATGCTGAATGACACTTTGGCCCTTAAACTCTAATGTATACCCCTTTATCTCCGTCGGAACTTTATAACGAGTCAAAATTAAGTTATATTTTCTTAGGTATTTGGCCAAAATAAGGCTTAAAGCTAGAAGAAACTCAATTTTGGTATTTAAAAAATTAAAATAGGATTAGAAATTAAACCAAAAATCTCATAGTTGTGTGACTAATATCCCTATTAGTGAGAACTAAGGTTGGGCCAACTAAGGTTTTTTTTAATTTGAGAAAAAAAAAACAGCCCATCAACCAACTTAATTGAAGTAGCAGGCAACTAGTTGTTGTTACTTTTTGATAGAACCCAAAAGTTCAAAAACGTGAGAAGCCCATAGAAAAAAGGGTCCAAGTTTCAAGTCAAAATCCACAAACTGGACCTAACCGGTTTAATTGGTTCATTTCAATTCACTAATTTTGATTGATTTTGGTTCGTTTTTTAACTTTCAGGTTTCTCATAGATTAAGTTGGATTGGTACCATGTCAACCGGTTGGTCCGATCCGATTCTTAAAATACTGTGTACAATCCCTCACACTTTATCATCATTTCCGACTCTTCTCAAAAAATTTAAAAGTATTAATTCATTTAATTAAAGAGTTTTGTGGCCAAAAAACAAGAAAGGTTTTCTGATAGATTACTGTGAATCTATAGTGAATTTTTTTTAAGAGGAAGAAATCAACATATATACATAGTTTGTTATGGGAATGATGGATTGAATAGTTTGGGGGAGGAAGTATAAGTGATAGATTTCGATTTCAAACCCCTCCACTTATACTAAAGAAAAATAATAAACAAAATATATGCAAATAAGTTTGTTGGAGGAAAATAGCAAAGTCACAAACTCTGTGATTTTCGGAAATTACAGTAAATTCTCAATTTGATTTTAAGGAGTGATTGATTCAATTGGACATTGGAGGCAGTACAAGAAATACATACTTTTTGAGGGGGTATTTGCAATTAATTATTGAAAATGTTTCTTTGTTATTCATAGAGGGTAATATAGCAAAGCAAACATTATTAGTTATCTAATGGACGATGCATTATTCACGGAAGACTTCATTTTACAGTAGTTCGGCCCATTAACGCATCGAAAATTTAGATGTTATATGATGAAATACCAAATAGAACTTATCAACAACCACATTTGTATTACCACATATTCTTGGTCTAGCAGTTTCGACCGGATTCTCTATCTTAGAGCAAGTGATAAAAAAAAATAGTCATTAAAATATTGAAAATTTTCTAACTTGGTTACTAAAATTTTTTATTTAGTTCGAAATGGTTAACTGAACTAATAGCACAACATTTTTTTTTTGGGTCACTCAGCTAATATAAAAGGTACACTTGTGGTCTCTTAATTTTAAAAAAAAAACAATTTTTGGTCCAAAAACTATACGTTTTATTTAGTAAAACTTAAAGTGTTAAATGACTAATTTGGTTAAATAAAAAGTTTAACGACAAAAATAGGAGATTATAAAAAAATTCTTTACTAAAAGATTTTATCATTTTTGGTTATGCATATGTTCGTGACTTGCAGAGAGGTACAATTAAGTATTGAAAACATTTTTAATCCGTAATCATCTCCAATCATCAATCAAGGAGCGGAGGACTTCTAATTTTAGTCAATCATTTTTGTTTTCTCTTTGAAGTCAGAATATTAAAATCAAGAAAACTATTCCTCTACTACCTGTACAGTTCCTACAATGAAGAACAGAAATAAATTAATCTGAATCTAATCATAAAAACACATCAAACACAATATGGTTGATCAAAAAATCCCTCTTCCTTCTTTTAAATTTTTTTTTTGGTCACATAATACTACTTTCACTTTAAAAATCAAGTGAATTGTGGTTTATATGTAAACATATGTACATTTATTTTTTTAAAAAATTCAAAAATTAAGCAGTCTTCCTCAAGCTACATTGATCAAGAAATCTAAGTTATTCTTATGGCAGGATAACAATAATGTGCCTCCGATGCTGTTGTAATCAGACCAACCACCGGCAATTCGGTAGAGAATAGGAAGAAAGTTGGCAGATGATCGTAGAAATGACACGGGTCGTGCCAACGTAAAGATCATTGTACTCTGTCTCCGACCCAATCAACCCAAAATTCTACTATGAATGTAACCAAGTGGATTAGTGTTGTCTTTGATGCGACTTTGTTGGAATTTAGAGCATAAACTGACAAACAATACTTGTACTTAGTGTTGCAAAAAAATGATTTATTTATAGAGTATAGAAGAAACAAATCAACATAATTTTTTGCTAACAATTTTTTTTTAACAAATCTCAATAAAAAAAATACTTATAATTCAAAATAGTTGCACTAGTCAAAAAATATCAAATGTGAAATTACTCTTAACAACTAAGTACTAAGTAATAATTTAACTTATTAACCAAATTGACCTATTCTGATGCTAGAAAGTTGCGGTAGAAATTGCATTATTCTGACAACTAGTCATGGCACTTGATGTATGGATTTGGTTTGCTCAGACCAATACAAATGAAGCATTACTGTATACAAATCAGCACTTTCAAGTCTCCACAACCTTTCATAGCACAAATTAAACAGAACAAGCTAATAGTGTGACGACCCACTTCTCCTTGGGGCGAATTCCAGGGTTTTCGCGGGCCGCCTGTCTATTTCTCGTTAGGACTCCATACAAGTCGAATTTAAACTTAAAACTAATCAACCAATAGGAAAATCAATATAAAGAAAAGTCGTTTCCTTCAAATTGTCATTCAATTCTTACATCACAATGTTTCCAAAAGGTACGTCAAATTCCTCAAAAATACAACCATCCAAAATTGATTAAATCATTTACATCCAAATTCGGATCAAAATATAATTAAGCCGATCTCTCAAAAATCTTTCCACTCCGAAGGAAAACAAACTTAAAAGGGTGAGCTAACGCTCAGTGAGGCCAAGATAAAAAACAGGAAAGCAAGCATATTATTTAAGTTGCAATCATTTTAAGTTCTTCTAAAGTCAAACAAAGATCTCATAACGCTAAAACAGAGTCACTGGAAATTTGTTGCAGTGAAGCATCAGATTTATTAATTGCGATCTGCAGTTAGTAATTTGGCTTTCTAAATTTTTCCATCGTTATTGCCTTGTGGTATTGTGAGAATATCATTCCCCGGTACATAAAGCACTTACCCATAGCCTTTGTTCTTAGAGTCTTTTTAGTATGTCGATGTATATGAAGATTATATGGTGGATTGTGATAATCATGGTAAACCTGCTTAGGAAATTATAACATCATACTTAGGGATGGCAATGGGGGCGCGTGCCCGCGGGGGGCTCACGGGGCGGGGGGGGGGAATTTTTTCCCCCCGCTTAGAAACGGGGCGGGGGGCGGGGGTATACCACCCGCAAAAAAAAAATATATATATATATATATAAATGACTATATATTATATGTAAGTTAATTAGTTATAAACTTATGATAATGATATTATTAGTTAGATGTATTATATAATGTATATTAGTTTATGTAATATAATTGATATTATCAATTATATGAATAATTATACATGTCTACTAATAGAATTTATTAATTAGTTATACTAAATTTACTAATACATTTATACTAAATTTCTAATTACACTTAATAGAATAACACTTTTTTCTCAAAAAAAAAGCACAAACACAATGATGAATTAGTGATTGCATTTGTACAAAAAGTGAAAATTTGACTATTTTAGTTATATTTATTTCATCATATTGGATTGTATTCAAATAACTTCTGTTTGATTGTTTTTATGAGTTTCAATTGTAAAATTACAATGAATAATAATTTGATAATGTGTTGATATTTTAGTACTTGATTATTTATTAAAATTTAATTATAATAAAATTTTATTAACCCCGCGGGTGCCCCCCGGGGGAAGCAGGGCAAGGCGGGGCGGGGGACGGGGGAAACTAATAGGCAACGGGGCGGGGAACGGGGGAGGGGTCCCCCGCCCTAACCCCGCCCCGTTGCCATCCCTAATCATACTGGTGGAAACATCTAGTACTCGAAGT